TAGCAAACAGGCAATAAGTGCACGACACCACCCTTCGCGCTTTTACTCTCAATCCTCACCAATGCAATCAAGTAATGAAAATGTGCACGACATCACCCTTCGTGCTTTTACTCTCAATCCTCGCCAATGCAATCAAGTAATGAAAATGTGCACGGCATCACCCTTCATGCTTTTACTCTCAATCTTCACCAATGAAATCAAGTAATGAAAATGTGCACGACATCACCCTTCGTGCTTTATTACTCTTTCCTCACCATATGCATCAATATCAATATAAATATGCGCGACATCACCCTTCGTGCTTTATCACTCTTTCCTCGCCAGATGCATAAGTATGAATGTGCACGACATCACCCTTCGTGCTTTATCACTCTTTCCTCACCCAAACAATAGCAACAACAATGTCCCGGTAAGGGAATCAACAGTAAGTATAAATACGTCCCGGCAAGGGAATCAACAATAAGAATTAAATACGTCCCGGCAAGGGAATCAGCTATAACCAAACTTGTACCAATATTCAACTTCACAATTGCACCTCAACTAGAGCCAATGCTCAACAATAACCAAATACCAAGAAGAAAATCATAAATCTTACTCAACATGGATAATCAACAATTTAGGCATACGTAGTACTTATTAAGAAACACAACGATCACAATTTAAGACCCACTGGCATTCTTGACACCAACGCATAGATACTCGTCACCATACCAATACGTCGTACACTACACTAACACATAGAAAATAAGGCACAACACTTATTCCCTCAAGCTAAGGTTAGACCAAACACTTACCTCGAACTTCCACGGCCAACTCAAGCCTCAAACACCGCTTTTTCCTTTAGAGTTCGCCTCCAATTTACTTGTATCTAACCCAAATTAATTTAACAACATCAATAAATGCTAAAGAATTCAATCCCAATACTAAATTATAGGTTTTCTATCAATTTCCCCAAAAAGTCAAAAGTCGATCGTGGGCCCGCTTGGTCAAAACCCGAGGTTCGAACCAAAACCCGATCACCCATTCACCCACGAACTCAAATATATAATTTGTTTTGAAATCGGACCTCAAATCGAGATCCAAATCCCCAAAATTTGGAAATCCTAAGTTCTACCCAAAATCACCCAATTTCCCATGAAAAACCCTTGATTTTGAAATGAAATCATATAAAAAGATGGATTAGATTGAAAGAAATGAGTTAGAAATGACTTACTAATGATTTGGAAGAGTAGGTGCCTTTGAAAAATCGCCCAAAGATGTTTTAGGGTTTGAAGAGTTATAAAAATGAAGAGAAATCCGTCTAAGTTCTAATTTACACAGGTGCAGATGTCGCAATTGCGACCAGGGGTTCGCAATTGCGAACCCTTTGAAAGTATGTTGTCTTCGCAAATGCGAAGAAAGAGTCACATTTGCGACCCCTGAGAAATCCTGTCACCTTCGCAATTGCGATGGGCGGGCATCGCAATTCCCACCCAAAGCTCGCATTTGCGAAGATGGCCTGCCCATGCTTGGTTCGCATTCGTGACGCCTGGGTCGCATTTCCCAAGCCTGAGGCCTTCGCATTTGCGAAGCCTGATCTCGCAATTGTGAGATCAGAGGCCTGGGCAAAAATATCAGATACCAGCAGAGATTTCCTAGGTCCAATTCACTCAGTGGCCTGTCCAAAACTCACCCGAGCCCTCGGGGCTCCAAACCAAACATGCACACTAACCTAAAACATCATATGGACTTGCTCGCGCGATCAAATCGCCAAAATAATACCTCGAACTATGGGTTTAACATCAAAATCAAAGAAAAATCTCAAGAACTCTTAAGTTTCAAATTTCACAACCGAGGGTCCAATTCACGTCATATGAAGTCTGTAACTTACCAAATTTTACAAGCACAACTTAAATACCATATAAGACCTGTACCGGGCTACGGAACCAAAATACGGGCCCGATACCATCAAATTCAAACACATTTAAATTTTCAAAAACTCTTAAAATTTCAGTTAAACAATTTTCTTCAAAAGTTCATTTCTCGGGCTTGGGTCCTCGGAATTTGATTCCGGGCATACGCCCAAGTCCCATATTTTTCTACGTCATATGAAGTCCGTTTCTTACCAAATTTTACAGGCACAACTTAAATACCATATAAGACCTGTACAGGGCTCCGGAACCAAAATACGGGCCTGATACCATCAAATTCAAACACATTTAAATTTTCAAAAACTCTTAAAATTTCAGTTAAACAATTTTCTTCAAAAATTTATTTCTTGGGCTTGGGATCTCGGTATTCGATTCCGGGCATACGCCCAAGTCCAATATTTTTTTACGAATCCTCCGGGACCGTCAAATCACGGGTCCGAGTCCGTTTACCCAAAATGTTGACCGAAGTCAACTTAAATTTAATTTTAAAGGCAAAATTAGCATTTTTATCAAATTTTCACATAAAAGCGTTCCGGGCCGCGCACGCAAATCGAGGTGAGATAAAAGGAGGTTTTTACGACCTCGGAACACATAATTGACTTGTAAATCAAGTGATGACCTTTTGGGTCATCACAACTATCAGGTTGGTTCTAAGTATCGTAGCTGCAGAAAATTTGCATTTGGAGCAGCTAGATGTTAAAATTGCTTTCTTGCATGGTGACCTTGAAGAAGACATCTACATGAAGCAACCTGAAGGTTTTCAAGTTTCTGGTAATGAAAACCTTGTGTGTAAGTTGAAGAAGAATTTGTATGATTTGAAATAAGCTCCCCGACAATGGTACAAGAAATTTGATGGATTCATGCATAACAATGGTTTCACGCGATCTAAGATGGACCGTTGTTCTTATATCAAAAATCTCGATGAATCCTATATCATTTTACTGTTGTACGTTGATGATATGCTAATTGCAGGATCTAGCATAAAAGAGATCAACATGGTTAAGCAACAACTGACGGAGGAGTTTGAAATGAATGACTTAGGACCAGCTAAGCAAATGCTTGAGAAGAGGATTAGCAAAAACATGTCTAAAGGAACCTCAAAATTGTCTCAAGAAAAGTACATATAGAAGGTACTAAACAGGTTTAGTCCTCATGATGCAAAGACCAGAAGCACTCTACTCGGAAGCAATCTTAATATGTCAAAGGACCAATCACCTAAGACAAATAAAGAAAGGAAGTATATGTCCAAATTTCCATATGCTTCTGCAATAGAGTTTGATGTATGCTATGGTTTGCACCGGACCTGACATAGCCCATGCAGTTGGAGTTGTCAATAGATACATGTCAGATCCAGGAAAGGAGCACTGGAAAGGTGTAAAATGGGTATTGAGATATCTCAAAAAGGCATCCCAGGTATGGCACTTTATTTTAAAATGAGCAATATTATCTTACAACGTTTTGCTGATGCAAATTTAGGTGGCGATCTGGATAGTCGCAAAAGTACCACGGGCTATGCGTTCACCTTAGGTAGTATTGCTGTTAGCTGGATGTTTAGACTTCAGAAAAGTGTTGCTCTATCTATCATAGAAGCAGAGTATATGGCAATCTCAGAAGTTGGAAAAATACATAATCTGGCTCAAGAACTTTCTTAAAGAGCTAGGTAAAGAGCAGGACAATTGTGAGCTTTTTAGTGATAGTCGGAGTGCAATTCATCTTGCCAAGAATCCAATATTTCATGCAAGATCAAAGTACATTCAGTTGAGGTATTATCATATCCGAGAGTTGATAAGTGAAGAAACTCTTTCCCTACGGAAGATACTAGGATCGAAGAACCCATCAGACATGTTGACTAAAGTAGTTGGTGTTGGCAAATTGAGGTTGTGCACTGCCTCAGTTAGCCTTCAAGACTGATAGCGTGAAGGCGCCACCAGAGAATAGCAAATCTTTTTTTACTTTCTTTCTTCATGTAACATAGGTTTGAGGGGGAGATTGATAGGAGCAAACCTGTTGTTGTATGTGAAAGAAAGAAAAGTAGACAAAACAAAAGAAAAAAAGTCAAAGAGAGAAGAAAAATGGTAGGCGGAAGAATTCATCTTTGAATTCTTTTCTTATGACGTAAGCGCTTACGTCAGCAGGTTGAATTCTTTTCTTACGACGTAAATGCTTACATCGGCAAGGAATTCAAATGCCTATAAAAGGGGTCTGCATTTTTATTTGCAGGTCATCCATCAACTTCTTCTTTCTTTTCAATTAATAAAGAGCTATTTTTTGTGTGGTCGTGGAGTAGGCTAAAATTATCGAACCACGTAAATCTTGTCTTTTCTTGTCTTGTGCAATTTATTGCTTCTCTTTTTTAAAGATTTTTCCCTTCTATTAGCCTGACATGCTTCCCAACAAAACTTAGTGTAAATTACTCCAAAAAAGAAAAAAAAGAAAATAAGTGTAATATCTTAATTTACATGGAAGGAAAATATGCAAAATCAAACCCGAAGAGAGGTCTTTATTTAAAGAAAAATGATCTTTACACAAATAGATGGCAAGATTCACTGTATATTTTTTTAGTTGATATATATATATACACTATATACTGATTATATATACTTATGCAAGCTATATAAAAAACAACACCCCATCTAATAAAAAATACGAAATGCAATGGTATTCCAGCAAATTCTGATACCCCTAAAATAATAAGCTCTAAGTAATAGTACTTATCAATCAATATTGATAAATTTTCAGTCCTCCCATCAATTAAATACTCTTAAAAAGTAAATTTTTGGACCATATCAATTGAAAAGAACCTCATTAATAAAAAAGGATTTTTAAAATAGGAAAAGAGAAGAGGAGAGAAAAAAGGAAAGTGGTGTAACTTAATCGTCTAATTTAAGGCACTAATAATAGATTGTATATAATATGCTAGAAAATTTTATTTAGGGCGAATAATTTTGATAATAAGGTTTCATATACTGTACAAAGGAAGAAAAAATTCGTTAGGTTAATTCTTCTTAGCGCACTGCAAAGTGACAAGAAAAGTAGTAGTAACTCCCAAAGACTGGGTTGTCAGCGTGGGCTATCATAAAAGCCCAGAAACGAACCCAATCCACATTCTGATATACACCTTCCTAGGGTAGCAGCTTCACCCTCTTCTTCCTCTGATTAGGGTTTTAAACTCCGGTCAGTTCTAGAATCTCTTCACTGTAAAAAAGAGATGGACCTTTTGAAGAAACGAAAGCTCGAGGATAACGGCGTTATCACCGACGTCCCCGTTACCAGTAGACTCACCATCGAAGACGCACGGAAGATTCTAGAATCAGTCACCCCTGAACAAATGCTCGAAATCCTACAAACCGCTGTTGTACGTCACGCCGACGTTTTAGACCAAGTACGAGCAATTGCCGATCGCGACACCACTCAACGGAAGCTCTTCATTCGCGGACTCGGCTGGGAAACGAATACAGAAAAACTTAAAGCGATTTTTGGTAATTACGGCGAGTTAGAAGAAGCCGTTGTAATTACCGATAAAGCCACTGGTAAAAGCAAAGGTTACGGGTTCGTTACGTTTAAACATGTTGATGGAGCTTTACTTGCTTTGAAGGAGCCGAGTAAGAAGATTGATGGACGAATGGCAGTGACTCAGCTCGCGTCAGCTGGGATTCAAGGTGGGCCTGGCGGCGGGAGTACCAATAATCCGGTTGATGTGTCGGCGAGGAAGATTTATGTAGCGAATGTGCCGTATGATATGCAGGCCGAGAGGATTTTACAGCATTTTTGTATGTATGGGGAAATAGAGGAAGGGCCATTAGGGTTTGATAAGGCGACTGGGAAGTCAAAAGGGTATGCTTTGTTTGTGTATAAGACGGCGGAGGCGGCTAAGGCTTCGCTAGTGGATCCTGTTAAGAATATTGATGGGCATCAGTTGAATTGTAAGCTAGCTATTGATGGGAAGAAAGGGGGAAAACCTGGAGGAGGAGCTCAGGTTCAAACTGATGGTCATGTTGATCAGGTTGGCCCGGGCCAGTATGGTGGGCCTAGTGGGATTACTGGTTATGGTGGATTTCCAGGGCATTCAACCTTTGGTGGGCCCGGCGGACATGGGCTCAATTCAGCATACGGTAGTGGGAATGGTATAGGTGTGGGTGGTCCCGGTGGTGGTTCATCTTATGGTGGGAGCCAACCTGGGGGTTCTGTTAGTGGTGGTGGGTATGGCGGTCCATATGGTGGAGGTGGGGGGTCTCATTATGGTGGGGCTGGTTCAGCTGGATATGGCGCGTTGGCCAGTAGTGCTACTGGTGGCGGTGGTGGATATGGCGGTCCTGGGGCATTGGGAGGTGGTGGATATGGCAGCACTGGGGCGCTGGGAGGTGGTGGCTTAAGTGGAGTTGGTGGTGCATTAGGTGGTGCAGGCCGTGGCTCTTCAATGTATGGGTTACCCCCAAGCTCAACTGGGTTGGCTTCAGGAGATTATCCACCACAGGGTCCTCATTACAGTCAACAAAACCAAGTGCCCGGGGTATCACCTGCACCTAGAGTTGCACCTGGGGGTATGTACCAGGGGATGCATTCATACTACTGAGGTAAATTACTAAGTTTCTTCCTCCTCCCACCACCTTTTTTATGTGAATATATTGATTGGTGGTTGGTTCTCTTTTGTCTGTCAGTACTCTTTTGCCCAAGTGTGATTTTTTTTTTCATTTGTATGCATTGCACTGTGCTTGTTGAATATTTTTGGTTGATGATGTGTGGTGCATGCTTGGTTAGAATGATAAACATTTGTGTGGGTTACCTGGTTGCAAAGTATGCTTAATATTCAGTGAGTTTTCGTGGTGTATGCTGGGTTAGACTATGATCTGGTTGTGCATATACTTAATGTGCAGTAGGGTTTACTAAGTAAGACAAGGTCAGAAATGTGATAAAACGGGAGGAAGGCAAGAACCATTAAAGCAGTTTTCTTAATGTAATTCGTGAAATTTCTGCTTTATGCTATGGTAGATTCACATTTTTTTGGTTCTTTGCATTCTTGATATCTGTTGAACACATAGCAATTAATGTTTGTAGATTTTAGAGTGATATTCTGTCTTGAGAAAGGAACACACATCATTGGACGCCATTTGTGCATTTGGTATTCTAGTGGATGTCCTTTTTTTTTGTGTGGATAAATTGAAGTTTGTTTGACTCTTCCCTTTTTTATTTTTTGTGTCATCTGGGTGCCTTTTGTCCCTCACTCTACATTCTTAGCATCTCTGAATAACCTGATTCTTGGGCATGTGGATATTCCTAATTGGAAAATGACTTTGAACTGTATAATCCCATATTTATTTGAGTACTTCTTCTGTTTATTTTTACTTTTGCCTTCTCTTTTGGATTTTATCTGTCATTGCATATGCAGACCCCATTTGTGGGAAACTACTGCGTTTGTTGTTGCTGCTGCTGCTGTTGTTGTTGTTGCATATGCTTCTGGACTATTGTCATGCTTATTCAGCTGTAAATTGATGTGAATTCTTTGTTTGCATTATCATTGTTGACTTGTTTTTCTAGTTCTCTCTCCTCTTTGGTGGGTGGGGGGGGGGGGGGAGGCTAAGTATGGTGCCTTGGTGGTTTGGGTCCATCAGGTTATTGCGCTCTCGATGAGTCTTTCTGCAACCGTGTTCACAACGTGATCATTTATTTTTGTGTTTCTGCTGATCAATGCTTACCCATGTTTTTCTTGTTTTTAGCTCGTGCGGCTTCTCTATATGAAAGAGAAACCCAAGGTTGTTGATTTTTTTGTTGTTTGTTTTTTCCCTTTGTTTTGTGTAATCCTAGATTGATTAGATTGGCTGTCTCTGTTTGTATGATCATTGATAACTAGGATATATTTGGATCCAATTCAATTGTATTTTATGTACTTTGGTGTTACTTTGATGGTTTAATACTGTAATGGTCCTTTCTTTTGCTTTCAATTTTAAGATCAGTTTGATTTTCAGACGTGGAATGATGTATTGAGTTGTGAATGGATGTTTGATTCAGGTGTTTTGACAGCTTGGTGCAGTTGCTTTTAGTGGTTCTTGCTGAATGCAGACATTTAGAAGTCTGGTTTGGTGATTTTGATTTGCTATGTACTTTGGCTTCTTCATCTGCACCTTGTAATGGTGTGCTTTTAAGTTATGGTAGTCAGGCTGTTTCTTTCTTCAGGAGGCTTTTGTGCTTTTTAGAGCTCTTCGTGGAGGTCGTATTTGGATATAAATATAGTAAATGTCTTGTAGGCTTTGAGCCTTAGAAATAATGTGCTGGTTTGTGAACAACTTCTAAAATTTCTGGTGAAGCTGATGATATTAGTTTCATATGGTATTGCAAAGCCTTCTTTCCCTTGCATTTTATTCGTTTCGATCTCAAATTATTTTCTTTTGTGCCTTTTTTCCATGCCGACTACTTCATCTTTTTGAATGGTTGAGGCCTTAGTTTTTATGCATGCTCAATTGTCTGTCTGATTATCCAATACATGGTAGTCAACTATGTTTGAGATATGAAAGGATGAGTCTGATTAACTAACTCTGGGGTTGTGATAATCTTGGTTATAGTTGATTGTATTATGTGGTCGGGATGGGAGTGCCATTTGATTTCCTCATTTTGCATTTTATGATGGTCTCGAGGGATTCTGTGGCTGGGTTAAATTGTATTTGACTTGATTATTTCATGGCAAATAATATATGGTTACATCTTTTACTCGGACCTTTTGAACGTATATCACCACATAACATGAATTACCTTTCCTTTTTCTCAAATTCATTGTATGGATGGATTCTGCAACTGTAATCCATGCCTTTTTCCCGGAGAAAAAGGCATTGTACCATCCTTCACATTTTCAGATCTGTCACTGAAATTGATTTGCTCATGCATTAGTTTTTAGAAGGTTTTGGAACTCCCCCACTTTCCAATCTTGCAGTTTCTTTCTGAAGTTCAGTTCCAGTGTACCCTCCTTTGCATATATACTCGTGCTGCTGAAAATGGTGCTTCCGTGTTGGATTTGGTTCGTACACTTATGGTAATGTTTGCTTTAAGCTGTTTGGATAACTGGTTGGAGTATCAGACTTTCTTGTCTGGATGGAAAAATTGTGGCTAAAATGTATAAAGATCGGCTACTGCTATCTTTTCCAAAGACATGATAAAGATTGGCTTAGTGCGTCATAGTCATCTCGACTCTCGAGTCTCTTGATTTGCTTCCTACTTTTGTAATGTTTTCTTTATAGTTGTTTGTACAACTTGTTGAAGTATACCAGGCTTTCTTCTTTGAACATAAACAAATGTGGCCAAAATATGTAAAAAACCGTGCAGTGCTTCATATGAACATAGTTGAACAAAGATGAAGATAGGCCGTACTGATCTAGAGTCTCGTATGGAATGGCTCTCGCTGAGCGGATTAAAAGGATGTTGGGTATAATGGAGGACTCCCAAGAGCTCTGATGAGTGGTTTTACAATTTGATGCAGTTAATCACATATTGCGGTTGAAGGAGGGTCTCATACTTAGAGGATCCCGGAAGAAGTATTCCCTAGTGTGCCAGATAGCTACTCCTAGTGTGCCAGATAGCTACTGTTGTCATTGCTTAAACTGAAGTATAAGAGTTTAGGTTGTAGGAGTCAAACCTGTCCTTTTGTTGCTTATCAATTGTTTCTTTTTGGTGTAGTAGCGACATGGGGATGGCCTAAGTAAAGAAGATTAAGTCTTAAATTTGGTAGAAACCTTGCTTAAAGTATAACATGCTCAACATCACAATGTTTTTTATTTTTTCACTTCCATCGCAGACCACCGCATTCTGCCTTTGCAGGTTTGTTTATAGAATCTTCGGCACGTAGTAACAGTAAGGGTGGAGTTTGGGGGGGGGGGGGGATTAATTGAGAGGAGTGGCTGTCAGAAGAATCTTTTCCGATTCCTTTTATTTTGGTATGGATGGAAAAGTGTTTTCTGGTTGAAAAGTTAATGCCCTTTGTTACTTTTTGTAGATGTGGAAATTGGTGATATCTGATTAACCCTCTATGCATATTGAATGGAAGTGCTTTCTGGTTGAAAAGTTTATATTTTAAACCCTCTTATCACTTTTTGTAGTTGCGAAAATTGGTAGTATCTGATTAAATCTGCACGCATATTGCAATGTTAAGTGGTGTGTACATTTTCTGAAATAATTTTAATTTCAACCATTTTTATATGAATGGTCCATGGCTCCATGCTGGATGATATGGATTTGTACTCTAGATCTTGAAATAATGAGTTGATCATATATAGATAAATCTAATATCTTACAGGTTATAGCTACAGTAACAAAAGTTGTATCCATTCTTAATATTTATAAGATAAAATTATCTTATGAGGCCTGAATGGCTACTGAGTCGTGCAACTACTAATAATTTTACTTGGTCATGAGTTTGTCTGAAGTTGCCAATTGACTCGTGAGGCCTAGATTTAGGATTCAAACAAGGGGTTTGTTGTGTATACTGGGATTCAAATAAGGAGTGTGTTGCCTAGACTGGTATTCAAGTAACAAAAGTTACCTACTATGGATATATGACCATATCCTGACCTTATCATTACTTTGTCATCTTTTCTCTCTTGTTAAAAGTAAATCTATTTAGATTGTAATTTTCACAGTGTAGCCTCTAGTTGAATCATACAAACTCTTTTGTTTACATAGAAAATGATGGTGCATTCCCAGCTGCTGTACCATTTAAGAAAGGGGATATCTAGGTTGGCAGAATTCTTCATAGCAATTTGAGGAAAGTCTTAGCATGACTCGGTGTGGAAGTGCCAAACATAACCTTGTTGGGATGCTGGTGGAGTGGTGGACAATGTCCTTTTAGAGACTGTAAGCACTCGCATACTGTATAGCAAAGCCCGGGCAAGTTTGATATATCTCTTACATGACAGCACCATGTGTCTTCGTTGGCATGCGATATACACTGTTATATCAGATAAACAGACCGTCAGTGCCTATTAACAATCCCATCTGGTAGTCATCCGATTGCTTCAACAAATGGTTCAAACAATTTCCTGATTTCTATATTTTCATGTTTAGAGGAATTTAGATGTTAGGATTTCTATTAGTTCTTCTTTTTCGATATCTTTGCGCTTGGGGCGACGATACAGCTAATGAGGTTGCGAGGTGTCTCAGTATTCTTCTGGTGTCAATTACTTCATGCTTGTGGTTACTCTGCAGTGCTTGGTTTATTATAAATGTCAAAGCATGTGCCAGATATTTGCTTCTATCCCACCCTCTGTTTGCTAATCTAGTGGTGCAGAAATTTATCCATACTATGTCTGTTGACGTTAGTTTTTCGTTCAATATCCATTGCGGCTTTTTGTACCTGAATGACACCTCTCTTCTTGAATACAACTTCAATGAGACATCGTTCATTTACTTGGGCAGCTTTTGCCTTGAGTTTACTTTCGTATTGTGAAATTGCCAAGCTTAGCATGTCCAGGCACAGTCTTAATGGTCTGTAGTTTCTGAGCGTGCACATGTTCCTCTTGTTGGGCCATTTTCTTCGGTAAATGCTTCCACTTGTGCGAGAAGTACGCAATGAAACCCAAATGAGACAATGAGAAGCGGTGGCCAGTTCAACTTGAGCATGGGAAGAGGTAACACATACATTTTGTTCTCCAAGTTGAAAAAGGAGCCAGATTGAGACTACTTTTAGACTGCTGATCCTGAGGACCGCAACGTAAACTGTGAAATACTCTTAAGACTGGGTAAAATGAAAATAAAGAGTAGCTAGAGGACCAGATGTGATTTCTGAGGACCGCAGTGGGATTAAAAGAAAGGGAAGGTGTATGGATACTGTTAATTTCACAACGGAACAATAAGATCTTGATTAGTAGCAACAAAATGTGACCTCAGTTGGAAGCACCAGGTGCTATCTTCCTATCTCCCCTTTGGGTTGCTATGCATATCACTGTTGACAGAACGGTGAAGCGTAATTCTCAAAATCCCTTCTCTCTAGTTTTTATAGCTTTCATATTGTCGATGCACCCGTTGGTTGTGATTAAGTTTTGCAAGTCGGAAGAATGTATACAGAAGAATGTTTTATTTGATGTAATTTAAACTGATAATCATAATTTGATATTAGCTTTAATAGGATTTTGTTCTATCAAAGCACTATTTCAAATTGCTGCTTTTTTATCCTCGAGCGATCTTATTCGGAATAACTTGACCTTCGGCCAACCTAATAGTAGTGAAATAACCACTTAGTTTTTTCTGCAAATTGATTTGCCTTCATACCAAGCGCTAGCGTTAAAAAATGCAATATACTTAATTGTAATATCTTAGAATTCTATATGCTATATTTATAGAACTTCATGGCGTCAGTATCTCTTCAAACTCCAAATTAATATCAAGAATAACAGTTTTGGTACATTTGAATAATCAACAATCCAAGAAAAGAAGTTCAAGGGAAAAATCTTGATTACTAAATTGGAAGAGGATACTTTTTAACTTTTAAGTGGTGCAGTGGCTATTGTGTAGGATGAGTTATTAACATGGTTATAATCCATTGTAACTTTAAACATATGGGACGGAAGCTTTTTTGCGATATAAGTATAGTTGGGGTATTTCTTATCAATTAGTTTTATGCCTTGGTGCAACAAACTAAAAGCAGGATAGCTATCCGTATAAAGATACCATAATATTGTTGGACGGCGACTTTTTTAAATAATTTGTAAGATGAGGATGTTCATCTGGGTTGGGCTAAAGCTCTGTAATTGCAAGTCTAGTCACCCTATCACTAATCGACTCCGGTCGTATTTGATGCATTATAATACAAAATAGATAAATTTTCATAAAGCACTATTTTTTAGTGGTAATTAGCTATTTATAGATACCATTTACTATATTACGGATTGTAGATACCTTTTCTGTTGTCATAAGATGTATTTGATGTATTTAAGCTACTCTATTCATGAATACAGTAGCAAAAATAGGCGTGAATCAGGGAAGTCCAGCTAATCAGTTGTTGTATTCGAGTGTATTCGACTGTATTCATAGCGTGAAACATGGGATTACAGCTGGACAGATTATTGTATCCGACTTTATTCACAGCGTGACACTGTTTTTAAACGGAAAGTGAATCAATTAGCATAATAGACTTCTAGTATAACTCAACAAACTCAATTATAACACACAAATTTTGTATTTTCAGTTATATAAAAGATTTTCAACCGAAAAATACCCCAAAAGTATAGATCTTCAGAGAAATTATATAATACACCTGAATACATAAATTATATTAATTAAAAAAAATATATGAATACATTCATGGCATATAGCGAGACAGTGAATACAATGAAATACATGGAATACAGCGAGATACATTGAATTACAATGAATAAAAAGATAATGAATACAATGAAATACATGAAAATACAGCTTGATACGTTGAAAAAACATTGAAATATATTAACAGAAAGTCAAGTTGCTAACCCCCAAACTCTGCCGTCTTTGTTCAAGAACAAACCCTAATTTCCGGCGAATCCACCATCGAGCAAAAACCTTGAATCTCACTGTTCCCACGCTCGGTTTGCTGATAATATTCGGAGCAGGTTTCACATTGAAGCCATGTAATGTCACTACCAGTGTCAATAGCCATGTAGAATTCCTTCACCGGTTGTCCTAATCCGACCCGAGCAAAATACTCGCCACTGCCTTCACTTATCCCAGAAGTAACAGGGGTCTGGATTTCTTCAAGTTGAAGCATAGTAGTGAGTGAGGGAACTAGTCGGGAGAGAGTGAGAGATGTGTAGTTTTTGTGTTGGGTTTTTGTAAGAGAAGAACGAGGATAGATTGATACAGAGAATGCTGAAGAAGAAGAAGACTCTGAAAGAATGAGAGAGAAAAATAATGTAAAGCGTATTTTATGGCTTAAGGGTAGGAGGTAACTATAAATATATATTTGGCTATAAAAATCAAAAGGTAGCTATGGAATATAATTTTCTAAAATGGTATTTATTTAAAATAAATAAGGTATCAACCTTTGCTATAGGAGGTAAAAATTCCTACAAAATACTATGGGTGGCAATTTGAGCCAAAATCCTTCCAACTCGCCCAACCCGCCCAGAGATTAATGGGTTGGACTACAAACATTTAACTCATGGGTCTATTTGGGCTGAGCCAAGTTGATCCATTATTTTTATAAGGAATTTACCTCATATAGCAAAGGTTAACACCTTATTTACTTTAAATAAATATCATTTAAAAAAATTATATTCTATAGATACCTTTTAATGTTTATAGCAAAATATTTAATTTTGGTTACCTCCTACCCCTAAGCCACTAAATGCGCTATTCAGTTACACTATTTTCTTTCTCTCTCTACTTTGATACGCTATTCAATAATGAAAGCAGTAAGTTTTTCTTTATCAATTCGTCATTGAAGGCTTGAAGGCTTTGACGTTGTTTTTTCTGTTAATTCGTCATTGAAGGATATAAGTTAATTCGTCTTTATCAATCAGTTCGTCATTGAAGGATATAAGTTCCTGTGATTTCTACATCTTCTGAGATATGGCATTGAAGGCTTTGACGTTGTTTTTTGCCATTGTGGCGGTCTTATCGGCGGTTGCTTCTGCTCAGGAAGTGACCTCGGCTCCGGCACCATCGCCGGACCAAGGCGGCACGTTTTCACTACCGGCTTCCAGTGAACGGCGGATTCGCCGAAAATTAGGGTTTGTTCTTGAACAAAGACGACGGAGTTTGGGGCTGAGCAACTTGATTTTCTGTTAATATATTTTAATGTATTTTCATGTATTTCATTGTATTCATTGTAATTCAATGTATCTCGTTGTATTTCATGTATTTCATTGTATTCACTATCTTTTTTTTATTGTATTTCAATGTATCCCGCTGTACTCTATGCATTTCATTGTATTAACTGTCTCGCTATATGCCATGAATGTATTCATATATTTTTTTTAATTAATATAATTTATGTATTCAGATGTATTATATAATTACTCTGAAGATTGCTATGTTTTTGGGGTATTTTTCGGTTGAGAATCTTTTTTATAACTGAAAATACAAAATTTGTGTGTTATAATTGAGTTTGTTGAGTTATATTAGGAGTCTATTGTGTTAATTGATTCACTTTCCGTTTTAAAAATAGTGTAATCCCTATTTATCGCCATGAATACAGTCGAATACAATAATATGTCCAGCTGTAATCCCATGTTTCACTCCATGAATACAGTCGAATAACTCGAATACAACAACTGATTAGCTGGACTTCCCTGATTCACGTCTATTTTTGCTATTGTATTCATGAATACAATAGCTTTAATACATCAAATACATTTTATAACCACAGAAAAGGTATCTATAATCCGTAATATAGCAAATGGTATCTATAGATGGCTAATTACTACTAAAAGATAGTGCTTTATGAAAATTTCTCTTTTTATAACCCATTCTGACATTAAGCATCCCAAAGGTAACCCATGAAACTCACCCAAAATAAAGTGATCTGAACCCTACTTATCTAGAAATTTACTTAGTTGCCCCAATTTTTTTTTTTTTATATCTTTAATTTTTTGTTTTGTTTGTTTTTCTGCACCACCCACCCACCCTACCCCCACCCCACCCCTTCAAAAAAAAATTTACTTTTTTTTTTGTATTTTCAATTTTCTGTTATTTTATTTTTCTGCACCACCCACTCACCCCTACCCGCAAAATATTTTCAACTTACACATTTTAAGGTAAAAGGCTTTTTATGCAAGATGAACATGGTTCTAAAATATGGGTCAAGTTAGCTGGTTGGGTTATAACCTATTGTTTAGCCCATCTTGACCCAGCCCATCTTAGCCCAAGTACACTTTGGGCTGGGTTGGACAATGACCATTTATTGACCTAATCCATCTTGACCCGCCCAAATTCTACCAAACTCGCCCATTTGCCACCCCTACAAAATACGATGTTGTAAATTGTAATCGTAAACACATGTTCTATGCGTAATGTGTGAATGGGAAACAGAAGGAAATAAATTTTGAATTATTTCTTTTACAAAGGAACTTTGTTCTACATTGGACAGGAAGAGGAAAATTCTTGTGCATATATATCAAAGCACTTTTTCTAGCTCTTGAAGAGTTGAGAAGAAAGCAAACATCGCGCCGTATTGTTGCCGCCTTGGCTTCGGCTTTGGTTTCGGTCAAATGATTTAATTGATAATTTTTTTGACCAAATTTATTTTCTTTTTTCAGCATTTTATTTTATTTATTTATTGATATTTTTCGCGCAGGATTTTAAAATTTGCGGATTAAATTAATTAATTTCTCAATGATCAAATTCGCGACCAAACAACCCGCTTAACAGAAATTTAAATAACTCATGTCAAATAGACACCTTACCAAATGAACATGCATCTTTGTACCTGTTGAAACTCAACTTCGCTGACTATAAATACAGAGAATTAGCGTCATATTTCAAACACCGAAATCTGCAATCGCTCTCTATTTTCTGCATTTCTACATTGTTTTTAAAAGCAAAAAGTAAGTATCTAATGTAATTTACTCCGCCATTTGAGCTCGCCGAAATTCTGTCATTTGTAGTGCCACTATCACAAAATAATTATGTATTCTATTCTGATAGGAATTAATCCAAAACTTTGGAGAATAATGAGAGGATTAAACCCTTAAGGAGACACAAACAACTTGTGAGCTCGGAGTTAGTTTATGTTTAGGTTTATTGCAATGACGTTTTACTAACAGTAATATCCTCTCCTCCTGTGTTTATCTCTTACCACAAAAGAAAGAAAAAAGAATATAAAAGGAAAAATAGAAGTGAATTCTCTGGTATGACAAAAACTCTTTGGTGTGAAGATTTTGATCCTAATGCTAGGGAGAGATTCTCACTTGGAACAGAGACAAACAAAGACCAAAATTCAACTCTTTCTTAGAGTCAATGATTGCGGTAATCTTGCAACAAAATTGCATATAATAACTCATTCCACGTATCAGGTACCCCAGGTAAGCACCAGTGGATGCAATCAGCATAATTCTTTGGATCTGATCTTTGTTCTTTAGTCAAGAGTTTTCCCCTCCTTTCACCAAACACTGAAGTATGTCCATCTTTTCTGTACTCAGACAATTGTGTAATATTCAGTAAACGTACATTAACTTGAAGCTTTTGTATGACATCTTTCAAGATTGACATGATATGAAGATTAGAACCAGTTCCCCAATATGGTCGTCCTTGTATTGGGTATGTCTCGTTAAAGCAGTTTCCATCACTTCCACCCTTCCATTCCCAGTTCCTGCAAATGAAGATAATTTGTCTTTAATGCATAATGGATTAAAGATGGTAGGTCAATTTGGGGATAGACTATCTAAATAGAGACACATATGCCTGAGGGAATATTTGAACCTTATGATTTTGGAATTCTACGTCTTTTTAAGTTAATGAGTTCTAAATTATACGTATTCAATTTATTTTTTTAGATAAATACAGGATTTGAGCCAAAGTTACTGGATCGTCTGAACCTGTAATTGACATCCTACCTTTGCCCCTGTATTTACCAGATATTTGTGATAATAGAAGCTGCAGTCGGTGCGTGCAAGCAAGCCAGAACATCATTACAAAAAAATAAAATAGAGACAAATTTTCAAAAGAGAAAAAATACTAGATGGTTTCTTCACATTTTTCTAAGTCATAGTGGACGAAGTTATTGTAAAATTGCGTGCAAGTTGGTCTGCATATCATCGATTACCAAGAAATTGGAAATAGTCTTTCAACAAAGATAAAAAATTCTAGGTGATTTCTTTCCATCTGCCTAAACTTTAGTAGGCAAAGTTACTTGGTAAATGTGCTGATAGGAGATATCACTGATGCCCTATAACTGAGAGGTGCACAAGTTGACCCGAGTACCGTCGTAATAAAAAAAAATTGGAGACAGAATATTCATTAATCAATACGTTGTCTCACCATAAATGTGTTGGGGACATGGTGACAAAGAAGACCTTTTGTTTTTGAGGATTAATGCTTGAGTCTATCCAATTTGCCCAAGTTTCTAACGCCAATCTGTATGCTGTGGTCACGTTATATTCTTGAACATTGTCAGGAGTTCCATATCTGCAGAAACAAAATCAGTTGGTATATTATACAAGTTAGACTCAAGTGACACAGTATTTGTTCATTGCACAGTCATTATTTATTTTCAATGAGAAATTAAGGTGCATACTTACGTTGCATTAATCAAAGGTTTGTGCATCCACCACACATAGCTTTCAAAAACCAAGAAATCAACTCCTTCCCAAAGATTGCGATGTTTTTCTACAGAGTCAAGCTTAACTAGCCTCTTCATTACACTATGTTTAGTTGCATGATCTGAAATGGATTCAACTATAAAAGGAGCCCAGTAATACTCGATCGATGCGTTAAATTCCTGAAACACAAACGCAACTAAAAAAGTCACAATTTGAGGTGATAAATGGTGTGCAAATATATGCTTAGATTGGGTTTTTAGGGGTGTCAAACGGGTAGGTTGGGTTGATTTTGACGGGTGAAAATGAGTTGAGTCGATATATTGGACGGGCCACAATTTGAGGTGATAAATGGTGTGCAAATTAATATATGCTTTTATTTTGTTATTTGTATGGGTCAGAATCCGATCTGACGGTAATTAACGGAGTTAATCTCGTCTTGAGCTAATCCATAATTAATAAGTGGTATGGCCACTTATTCATAACAGGATTCGACTCTTGTCCGATTTAATCTACGAGGGCACGACCCATTCATTCCCCCATGGGGACGGAACCTCAGCGTGGCCACGGCCATTTATTGCCAGCCCACGAAGCTCACATCTATAAGTACTAAGAGCGGAAGCCCTAGAAAGGGGGGCTGCTTCTTCACCACTATTCACAAAAGAGAGAGAGAAGAGAAAAATATACCCATCTTATGGGAAGAGAAAACACCATTGTAAGGCTCTGAACCTCTTCATGGAGAGGCAGACCAAACCAATATTGTCAATAAAAGTTGTTAAGATTTCTTCTTCTAACCTTGAGTACTTATTTTCATGTTCTTTGCTTGGTCCAATGGATTATTACGGCCACTTATTACGGTTAGGAGAAAGACAGGCTATGCGCCTTCACCAAAAAGTTCAACAACGGTTGAACCAAGACCGGCTATGCGCCTTTACCAAACAGTTCAACTACGGTTGAACCAAGACAGGCTATGCGCCTTCACCAAAAAAAAGTTCAACTACGGTTGAACCGGGACTCAGGTTATGCGCCTTCACCAAAAAGGTTCAACTACGGTTGAACCGGGACTCAGGCTATGCGCCTTCACCAAAAAGTTCAACTACGGTTGAACCAAGACAGGCTATGCGCCTTCACCAAACAGTTCAACTACGGTTGAACTAAGACAGGCTATGCGCCTTCGCCAACAAGTTCAACTACGGTTGAACCAAGACAGGCTATGCGCCTTCACCAAAAAGTTCAACTACGGTTGAACCAAGACAGGCTATGCACCTTCACCAAACAGTTCAACTACGGTTGAACCAAGACAGGCTATGCGCCTTCACCAAAAAAAGTTCAACTACGGTTGAACCGGGACTCAAGCTATGTGCCTTCGCCATCAAATTTAACAAAGTCCAACAACAGTCGAACTGGAACTCCGGCTACGTGCCTTCGCCAATAAGTCCAACCACGGTTGAACCAAGACTCAGGCTATGTGCCTTCGCCATTAAATCCAACGAGCTCGACCTCGCTCGAACTACAAGGATGGACGCCTTCGTCCTCAACTTTAGCAAGTTCAACCACAGTTGAACCGAGACTCAGGCCAAACGCCTTCATCTGTGAAAGCAAAGCCCGACCTCCAACGAATCGAAACGCAGGATAGGCACCCTCGCCATTCAAGTAAGTACTCCCAAATCGAATTAAGATTCGGGCAACGTAAAGTTCGGCCCCGGTCAAACTACGAGGCCGCGTATTTTACCATCACGATCGGTAGTTCGACCGCGTCCGAACTGGGACTAAGGCTAAGCGCCGCTATCGCCAAATAACGGCTAAGACTCGCCCGCACTGAGTTGAAAAAGCAAGGCCGCTAATAACCCGAAGTTAACATGCCTGCCAGAGTCAAACTCAGCAAATCACCCCTTGAACACGCGCAAAAGAAAATTCTAAGGGGGAAAAAGGAAAGACACAAAACAAGCACAAGGCAGGCAATAGAAAAGAAAATTTATATATTTACAAAGTCAATGACGGGTCATCCCCGCTTACACCCGGCCAAGGCCGGTAAATAAAAAAAATGGGGGAAGAAAAACAAGAAACACCCAAATCGCCAAGCGGCGAGCGAAACAAAAAAATACAACAAATCTTTCTACTCGGCGCCATCCGCGCCGTCATCTGCACCATCGCCAACCTCTGGCGTCGCCGCGTCAAAACCACAGTCGGTACGGGCCTCACGAGCCTTCTGACGCGCTTCCTCGAACGCAGCCTCGGTCACGATACCGGCCTCCCACAAATTCTTATATACATCGCGTTGGGCCTCGGCAAAAACCCAAAGTTCGCGAGCCTGGTTGGAAGGGGCGGCCTGGTCCCGTAGGCGCTGATTCTCCCCCTCCAAGGTCGCGATCCGATCCGCCATGGCTTGGGCGTCCCGCTCAAAGACCCCAATGCGGTCCTCTAGCCCCGCCTCTCTAAAGGCCGCGGCAGCTCTCTCCAACCCCCACTCCCTCTCACGAACACGAAGCGCCTCCTCCAACCCTGCGGCCTTCGTCGAAGCGGTCCCCGCCTGCTGCCTCAAAGCCGCGACTTCACCCTCCAATGCGGTCACCTTCCCGTTCCATGCCGCAGCGGCCTCCGCTGCCTTGGCCTGATCTTGGCGCTCCCTCTCAGCTGCGTCCCGCCTTCCCGCCTCAAGCTCCTCGTCCTTCTGACGAAGCTGCTCCTCGAGGGCGCGCGTTCTGCCAAGTGCCTGCTGCACCTGAAGCTCCCGCCTCGCCAGTTCCTCGACCAAGGCCCGGCTACGGGGATCATTCCTCAAGCGCACGCTCAACTCTCGGCACCGATCTCGGTAGCGGCGATACTTCTCCAGCGCCCGCAAAAATATCCCCGAGCGGACTTTGGCTCGACGGATGCTCTCCACCTCCAACAAATAAGACTGCAAAGCAAAGACAACGATTAAGATAAAGAACAAACTAAGGCAAAGAAGAAGCGAATCAACGTCGTATTACATACCCTCAAGCCCATCACGGCCACTTCATTCATCAGTCCGATATCCGTAACGTCCCTCAACGACGCATTCTCGGCCTCCGAGCATAGCAGCTCAAACTGCGGCACCAAGCCACTCCCTTGGAGCAATAAGTTCAACTCTGTGGGAACCTCGATGAAGCGAGAGCGCCCCTCTGCGCGCACCGCTGAATTGGTGAAGCCTTCTTGGAACATACGGACGTCGTCGGGGTCCAAGTCGGATTCAGACTCGTACCCATCTCCTACAGCATCCCCTCCTCCTTCCGCTACCAGCGAGGTAGAACCACCCGCCGTAGCCACCGAAGGAGCGCTTGCCTCACCAACATTAGCAGCCGCTGAGGAACTACCTCCCGTCTCAGCGACTGGAACCACCAATTGAGTCGCCGAAGCGACGGTATCATCACGACCTAAGCCAACCGGGGCAACCCCCAATGTTTGTCCGCCCTCAAGGGCAGGCGCCGCAGTCGCACTCCTCTCCGCATCCGCCGGGGGGGGGAGTCCAAATTAATTACCACAGGAGGAGCCGGCGTGAACACGACCCTACGCCTTATCAACGGCCTCTCCTCCTCCCCATCTGATGACGATTCCGCTCTAGGGCGCACAACCCCCGATGGCCCCTCGTCCCGAAGTAGGGCCCGTGCTGGAGAAGGAACCACTGAAGATTCAACCGATGCCGCCCTCGGTATTGGGCGCGACACCGGCGCTGCAGTAAGCCGAGCAATCACCAGGCCGACGGAAGGCCAACTGAGGGGCCCTGATGCGGCGTGCCCTCCCTGATCACAGGAAAACAAAGTTGATGAATAGAGTTGAAACAAAGCGGAACGGAAGAAGAAATCAATTTTTTACCTGCCACAGGCCTACGGCCATGCCTCTCCCAGAAAGACGCCCACGTACGTATACCCCTCGTATGGGGGAGTACGGCCTCGACCCACTCACGTATCCAAGACAACGGGGGCGGCGGCGACCTGTCGGCTACAAAAAAGACACGAGTTAATGGTCATAAGCACAAATCATAAAGCGGGGAAGAAAGAGAATTCAACCACTAAAAACTTATGTGCATGGTTCCAAGCCTCTGGGAACCCAGTAGCATCCGCCACCAGGTGCTTGGTCCTGATATAAAAAAAGTGCTCGAAAGGGAGGGGGTCAACCTCGTCATCCAATCTCATGACCAGGCCCTTCGACCCACGAGGGCACGCCTGAATCATGGTACCACGGATTCTCTGGGGAGCGTAGAGACTCAACACATGCTGCAGCGTGACCTCCCTACGGGCCAATTCTGCGTACTTGATGAACATTGCCAACAGTTTGTAGAGGGAAGGAGTGAGCTAACCCGGGCACACCCCGTAATAACGGCAGAAATCCACCACCAGCATTGGGAGCGGGATCTTGAACCCCAACCTGAAAGGATAGGCGTAAAAAACGCAGTATCCCCTGCGGTCGGTGTGGACCCTCTCCTCGCTTCTAGCGAGAACGATGTCTGCATGGGTGGGAATGACCCCCTGTTCCCATAATCGGGCCATCCCAATCTCCCCCATTAACGGGGCTTCATCCACCGGTTCCTCTCCACCGTCGACAGTGAAATCAATCGCCAGACCTCCGGGCCGAGGAACTACCTCGTCAACCGACGGAACTTCTCCAGTCTCTATCTGTTCTGCACCTCCCATTGCCGGAGGTGGCCTTTCAACTACCGAAAAATCTATCGGAAGAGCATCGTGGGAAGAACTGCCTGCCATTGTTGATCTACTAAAGAGAAAGGGATAGAATTCGGTGGACAAGACAAAGGTTATCACAATCAAAGGAAAGAAAGGAGAAGATGAATTAGCAGAATGAAAAAGTTTCCTCAGAATCTCTCTCAGATGAACAATGAAGATATGAGAAATGAATGCATCAACCCACCTTTATAGGCAACATAAATGGCTTTCGCGAAACCCAATAGCCATCATTAACTGCACGACCAACCGTAAAACGGTTCGATTCTGCCGAAGCAAGCGTCATCATGACAAGCTCCGCAAAGCGGCTTCTCAGCCATCCGCCAACGTACCGCCGTCAAAATAATCGTAACGGCCTGCGAACGCTGAAAGAATGTGCCGTACGCCTTCAAAATTCTGGACGTGACCAAATACGTACCCAGCGTATACTCATTCCCCACGGCCATCTCTAATGTATGAAAGGCTCTCCAATATACGAAAGGCTACAGCCATCCCTAATATATGAAAGGCTACGACCATCTCTAATGTATGAAAGGCTCCCCAATATATGAAAGGCTACGACCATCTCTAATGTATGAAAGGCTCTCCAATATACGAAAGGCTACGGCCATTCCCAATATATGAAAGGCTACGGCCATCTCTAATGTATGAAAGGCTCTCCAATATGTGAAAGGCTACGGCCATCTCCAATGTGTAAACGGCTAAGGCCACCGCCGTCAATAAGTCGACCCCCTTATTCGAGTTTTTTTCAAATCACAATCGATGAAGTCCGCTCATCGAGCTCGGCCGAACCACGACCTCAATAAGCGGAGGGACTAACTGTATGGGTCAGAATCCGATCTGACGGTAATTAATGGAGTTAATCTCGTCTTGAGCTAATCCACAATTTATAAGTGGTATGGCCACTTATTCATAACAGGATTCGACTCTTGTCTGATTTAATCTACGAGGGCACGGCCCATTCATTCCCCCATGGGGACGGAACCTCAGCGTGGCCACGACCATTTATTGCCAGCTCACGAAGCTCACATCTATAAATACTAAGAGCGGAAGCCCTAGAAAGAGGGGCTGCTTCTTCACCACTATTCACAAAAGAGATAGAGAAGAGAAAAATATACCCATCTTATGGGAAGAGAAAACACCATTGTAAGGCTCTGAACCTCTTCATGGAGAGGCAGACCAAACCAATATTGTCAATAAAAGCTGTTAAGATTTCTTCTCCTAACCTTGAGTACTTATTTTCATGTTCTTCGCTTGGTCCAATGTATTATTACGATTTGCTATGATTTTCCCGTAACTTATTTGTATTGTTTTGCACTCATAAAGCACACAATAACTTTTGAGCAAACGTTATTTTTAAGTGATCATGGTTAACAAGTGAAACCTATAAGGCAACAAAGGCAACACTTTCGGTGTGTAGCTCTAGGGTATAAAAGCGTTGCCATATGAGGTGTAACAAGTGTGTCCTTTGTTATCTAATAGGCCACGCTTTTAAGCATGGCTTGCAAGGCAACATCTAAAAAGCGTATTCTTAGGTAAAGGTTACACTTGTTTTGGCCAACCAAAAAAGTTTTGCCTAACGTAAAAAAGTGTGGCCTTAGGCTACACTTTGTGCTAGTTTAGGCCACACTTTTTCGGGGCACTTTTACTTGTCCACTATTGACTTTACAAACCCTTTAAGAAAAAGTAAATGAAATATATATTTTACAATTTTACCCATAATAATGATAGTATTTCCAAAAGTCTTAGAAAATGATTTGGGGAATAAGTAATTAATGATAAGGGTAAAACAGGAAAAACGTGTTGTCTTTCTCTTGATTTAATATAGTGGACAAATAAAAATAAAAATGTATTTTTAATATAGTGGATAAGTAAAAGTGAACGGATGAAGTAATTAATAAGCACCTCAATTCTGAAAATCTTTCTAGGAGGGATTCTTTTAAGGGAATGATCACCATCTGGAATCACTGACTGAATTAGGCAAACCATTGAATCAAACATGCCTCTTTGTATTGAGTCTCCAACAAACATGAGTCTTTTGTCTCTCAACATTTCCAACATCTTCAATGCATTAAATCTGATGAACAAACATTTAGAAAACAACCAGCGACATAAATGTACGGTTAATTTCACATATGGTTATCCAACTAAAGTTTATTGCACCAAAAGTTATAAAACTAATTTTTGTAATGGAAAAATAAATCAACTATGTCATCTTTGTATTACAGAAAATAAAAAAGCAAGAAAATGTTATAATATTCGACTCCAAAAACACCTGTAACCTTACATTATATCCATGTGAGTTGTGACACCGCTAAAATTATTAATTTAAATTTATATATTTTAACCCACTTGAAGCATAAATATAGAAAGCAAAATGTGTGTTACATGGTGAAAGATATTGGGTAATAGGTTTGACGGAAATGAGGTTTTTGTTTCTTTTTAAGTAGTGCCATGTGAATATTATATGAGGTGAATTGAGCAAGGATTATACCTTCATGACAATTTTACACATATGACAACCTACTTATGTTTTTTCGGGGCTAAATTTAGACTTTTCTGCTACTTTTTTTATATATATCTTTTTTGTGGTTTATGGCATAGTTGAGTTACTTTTCTAATTAATCTTATGACTTAGTGTGATAATTAAAGTGAAAGTTGAATGACCATACGAAATACTTTTATAATTGTCTAGCACTGCTAGTGATTTATGTTGTGTTTCACACTTTTGCATTAATATTTGCGTTACTGTTTTTCCATTTATTTGATGTCTCTCATGTTGCTGATATTATTTTTCGGGTTTTGTTGTCACAGATCTATTGTCTCTGAGCCGAGGGTCTCCAGAAAACAGCCTCTCTACCCCCTCTGGGGTAGGGGTAAGGTTTGCGTACTGTCTACCCTCCCCAGACACCACTGGTCGGATTTTACTCGGTTGTTGTTGTTGATATATGAGGGATAAAAAGGAAAAAAAAAACATGCAAGAAACACCATGAAAAATTTGTTCTTTGCAATTGATAACATATATAAAAAGCTATACTATATATATACCTGGGCAAGTTGCAACCATTAGGTTGCCATCTCCAATTCTGATAAAAAGAATCAGGCCTTCCATTTCTTTGACAAGTAACTTGTTTAACCAAATAAGGACAACTATCTTCTTTATATAGTGGATATGTAACATTGTCCCAAACCCAATTCCCATCAAATACATTACAACTTTCTTCAATTATCTCATCTTGAGAAACATTTAAAGGCACTCTAAGAAATTTATTATGCCGAAGAAACTGGAATTGGTTGTTTTTCAAGTTATCAAGTAAAAATCTTACAGTTCCAAGAAGAAAGAGAGAGGCTAATGCAAGAGGAAAAAGGAACAGGATCTTACGATCCTGTGTTGGATGTGTTGTCATTGGGAAAACTAGTGGGAGTGGAATCAAGATCATAATGTAATTTAGCCATTTTTATGGTTTAGAGTAAAATAGGAAGCAATAGTGTCTTGAGATTTAAGCATACTTGAAGTGTTCTATGCAACTACTAGTTGGTGATTATGTGAGTTAGGTACATCTAGAGCCTTTTAAAAGATGTCCAAATCTCGTACGCATAAACACTAAGGGGCCGTTTGGCCATACAAAAATTTTTACTTTTTTTTTTTCACTTGAAGTTGAATTTCGATTTTTTTCGAAAATTTGAAAAAACTTCAAAAGGCTGTTTGAATTTTTCAAAAATTTTCACTTCAAATCACTCGCAAAAATTCAAAATTAACCCAAAATTGTATTCATGTCCAAACACAACTCTAACTTTACCATTTTCACTTGAATTTTTTTTTTCACTTTTTTCAGAATTAGTGTGCCGTTTGGACATAAGAAATTGTAAAAATTCGGAAAAAAATAAGTAAAAAAGATTAAGTGAAAATTAGAGTTGTGTTTGGACATGAATACGATTTGGAGCTGTTTTTGTATTTTTGTGAGTGAATTGAAGTGAAAATTTTGAAAACACCTTTTTGGAGGTTTTCAAATTTGCGAAATGCAACTTCAAGTGAAATTTGAAAATTTTATGAACAAATACTGATTCTGAAAAAAGTGAATTTTTTTCGAAAAAAAGTAAAAAATCTCTTATGGCCAAACAGACCCTAAGTTATTTCTTCTCATCTGTTCAAATCTTTATGGGCAGAGTTACTTGGTACCAGTATTTTTGCTGGTGGAAGATAGGATGTACCGGTGGCAGAGCCACATATACTCAAGGGGTATTAACTTACATCATTTGTTAGAAAATTATACTTTGTAGCTATGTAATTTTACTTTAA